ATTTGCTGGGAGACAAATGGCACTTAGCTGTATTTATATCTGAAATGGCCGCGGGACACGACCCCATTATGATGTCAGAAATACTGCAGACCTTTACGCTTACAATATGGAGGGCTATAACCGCCGCATACGTGCGTCGCGATGGGGAATATCAAGTGGTCACTGCTCCGCTTGTGGCAGCTAAGTATCTGAAAAACAAATTAAATAGCAAACATTCGATGTAAACCTGAACTGAATGACAATAAGGGTCTGTTGACACCATAGCATTGCGCATAAATGTGCGAGGTCCCTTTTGTTTAGCGCATGGTGCACTGTACAATCATAGGCGTGCCGGTGTGCTGTGTTGATTTTAGGCCTCATTCACACTGTAATCGGCCCGCAACGTACAGCTCCGTGCTGCGTGCAGGGCCGTATCGGGCAGCTCCCGGGAAGGACAGGTGTTGCGTGTGATTAGTACGCAGCCCCCGTCCTTCTCTATAGGACTACGTGGTCGTACACCCCCCTACGCTTACCCGCCTTGCACGTCCGTAGGGGTGTGGGTGAGCGTACTCGTACGCTAACAGGATGGATCCTGTCTGCGTCCGAGCCAGGAAACACGCACCCCTACGGACCTGCATTTGAGGTGAGCGTAGGGGGGCGTACGGCCACGTAGTCCCATAGAGAAGGACAGGGTTGCCAACTATTCTCATTATCGATTATAATCAATTAGTTGTTGCAGCCCTAATATTCAGTTGTTTTTATTATTAGTGTCTGTCTCTGCTGAAGAGATTTCCCCACACTTCCTGTCCCGGTCACACCCTGGATTTCTCTTGAGACAGGAAGCGAGGGTAAATCTCCCCCAAAAGGAACAAATAGAGCATTAAAATCCGGCAGAGGTTCTAACAGCTCACCACTCCAAATCTAAAAGGGAACCTGTCAGAGAAGAGGTATGGGGTTGCCATTGTTGGCTTCTTGAGCAGTCCATTTTTTACCCTTCCTCACAATGATGTGCATATCAGGTACATGGACCTTTTTTTCTGCAATTGCCGTGCAGATACCCCATTGGCCCTCATTCACACGAGAAACGGTCGGCCCGTACAAATCCATGCTGTGTGCAGGGCCGTATCGGGCAGCTCCAGGGAAGGACAAGTGCTGCGTGTGGTTACACGCAGCAGCCTGTCCTTCTCTATGTGAGTATGTGGCCATACGCCGCCCTATCCTCACCCGAACTGCCCGTCCGTACAGGTGTGGGTGTGCCTGCTCAGTTGAAGACGGGATCCATCCTGTCAGTGTACGAGTACGGACACCCGCACGCATACGGACGGGCAGTTCAGGTGAGGATAGGGCGGCGTACGCCCGCATACTCCCATAGAGAAGGAGTGTAATCATACACAGCACCTGTCCTTCCCGGGAGCAGCCTGATATGGCCATACACGGATCTATACGGGCCGCCCCGTTTCTCGAGTGAATGAGGGCTGTAAATCAATGGGGCTGCGCGGAAATCGCTGTCTCCAATTGTGCAGTACCGTGCGATCCCGGGACGGGCGTCCCGGATCGTTGAGGTCTGCATCGGGCCTCCGACACTACTTCTACTAACTACTGGGTAGGTGACTAGCTAAGTAGTAAAGCATGGAGAAGGTTGACCGCCTTGGTGGATGTATCTTCAGAAAATTCTGACTGGTTCTCTTGGAAAAAATGAAGACTTTAATGGGTTAGGCCGTTAGGGTAATGTTCTCAGCCACAAAGTAGCCAGGTTCTGATGGCCACTCCAGTTCTCGGAGGTCATCTCTCCAAGGGGGCCAGCTTGGTGTCAAATTCCCCCCGCTCCACCCAAAACAAAGCAGTCTTGCCTTTGATTTTTCATCGTAGAACTTCTTATTCAGATTCTGTTTTCTTCTTACAGGTGACCAAAAAAGTGAAGAGCATGCAGATGTTTCACCGCCCGGTAAACAGCGCCATGCAAGGGGACCGGCTGGGCATCTGCGTCACTCAGTTCGATCCCAAGCTGCTGGAAAGAGGACTTGTCTGCACCCCGGAGTCCTTGCACACCATCCACGCCGCCATCATATCCGTGAATAAGATATCGTACTTCAAGGGATCGCTCAGCACCAAAGCCAAGTTCCACATCACGGTCGGCCATGAAACCGTCATGGGGAAGGTGATGTTTTTCAGTCTTCCTCCTCACCTCAACCAAGAAGAACCCACGGACGGTTTTGACTTTGGGAAAGAGTACTCGTACCAGGAGAGCTACCTCACCAAGGATTCCACAGCTTCAGAGCAGGACAAGGCGGATGACCAACATGGGTCTGATCTCCATCCCAAGCAGCAGTGGGCCCTCTTGGAGTTTGAGAAGCCAGTCACGTGTCCCAAGTTGTGCCTTGTCATTGGCTCGAAGCTGGACACTGACATTCATTCCAACACGTGTAGGCTAGCTTTCCACGGGGTGCTTCTGGAGGGGGCGGAAGACAAAAATTATGCTGAGACCTTACTTCCCAAGCTGAAGGTCTTCAAAATGAAGCACAAGGAAGGGCAAGTCGAGAGGGTAAGGGCTGTTTGTCATTCTATCTCAGGATCCATCAATCCTCACTATGTTTTCCTTTACAGGTCATTTATCTAAGACTCAGTGGCGTCACAAGGGGGGGTGCGGCCCGCACCTGGGTGACACCATTGCAGGGGTAGAAAAAGATGGTAACCGCATACATTTATAACGGCTGGTTATAAATGTTTGCGGTTACCACCTTTTTCTAGTTTGACTATCTTGGATGTAGTGACGCATTGGGGATCCCAGCATGCATCTGTGGTTGCTGGGCCTCCAGTGCGTCCCTGCACCTTGTGAGGAGGAGTAGGCTTACCTCCTGGCACACCTGCATTCAATTTATCAACTGCATCAATATGCTCCCACTAGGAGACTCATATAAATAGAGTTAGGACCACACTTTACAGAGGTGCCTTGACGGTGGCAGTGTGGCTTCTACATATTTTTGGCCAAAGGTTTGTGCAACTAAAACCTCTGCTTTTAGGGCTAGTTCACACCAAGCGCGGAGCAGATCCAGAGCAGAGCAGGTGCAGACCGGATCAAAACTGCGTCCAATGTATTCCTATGGTATTTTTAGCTCCAGTTCACTTCGCAGCGTGCAGATCCAGAGAAGGTAAAAAAAAAACTGCTCTGGATCCGCAAACGCATCAAAAACGCATGCTAATGCCTGGAACGCACTGGAAGCCCATGTTAAACTAAAAATGTATTTATTTTTAGCCAAAAACGCATCAAAAAGACTAGCGTGCGTGTGCAGAAACCTGACCGGATCTGCATAGCATTTGGTGTGAACAAGGCCTTAACGTATACGGTTAGACAGGGTATTTTGTTTTGTTGCAGGCCAGCTAGCAGGTGTGCTGGGGATTCTTTTTGTTTTGTACCATTGCAGGGGTGACACCAAAATGACTGACAGGCACTTTGGTGTCATCCCCTCTAAAAAGTCAGGCACTCGGTCATGGACCAAGAGCCCAACCGTGTCAGGAGAGAGGAGGGGACCCGGCGGCATACCTCATCCCGCCGGGTGAACGTCCCCTCCTCTCTCTGCAAGCATCCATCACCAAGATAGCCGCCAGCAGGCGTCAATCAGATGGCCGCACGCGCGCGATGACACGGCAGAGTGACACCCGGCCTCGGGACGCCCCTGCTAAGACATAAACAATTGTAGCTTCCGATAAACGGGTAGGTATGGAACAAAACTGGAGTCATGGCAAAGTGTATGCATGGCCAAACCTGTTTTGTTTTAGAGTAGTGAAGGGTTAAAGCCTCTTTTTTGTTTGCTGTTGGGTGAGATTTCCCTTCACTTCCTGTCCTGGTGGCTCAAAAGGAAGCAAGAGGAAATCTCTACAACACTCAGACAATTGTAATGGAATAGGTGTCCCTATTAGAAGATTTGTCCTCACCTCCTTGTTCTAGTGACAACTGTAAAATGTTGGCTTTTTGCCTCGGTGACAATGGTCACCAAGGTCAGGTCTTTGAAGCCCAAATCAGTAGAGCAGTCTAAGGTGAGAATACTCCTCCTACGTAGATACAGTATGGTCAGTGATCGTTGTCACCACCTGTACCAATGGAGATCAGAGAGGTAGGTGTTTGAAATCCAAATCAGGAGAGCAATCTAGGGTGACAACGCTGCTCCTCAAATATATACAACATGGTGAGTGATTATTGTCACATGCTGTGCCAGTGGAGGACAGGGCGGAGGTGTTTGTAGTCCTAATTAGGAGGGCAGCCTAGGGTGACAACATTGTTCCTCCATAGATACAGTATGGTCAGTGATCGTTGTCACCTGCTGTACCAATAGATAACGGGGGTAGGTGTCTGAAGTCCAAATCAGGAGAGCAGCCTAGGGGGACAACGCTCCTCCTCCATAGATGCAGTACAGGACAGGAAGTGTGTTACTGGCAGGATCAGCAGGCGACCTTAAAGGGGAAAAAAAAAGTTAAAAAAGGAAACTAATGCAGCCACCAATTCTAAGAACTGGTAAGTTGTACTACATTGCATTTTTGTTTCTGCGGTTTACATGAGCTTAATCATTAGAATGGGTCATCCAGGGACCCTTTTTTTATATACTGCTGCTGAGCCACGTCCACGTCCTGTAGCGTGTGCAGCGCCAAACATCTCAGTACAGATCCGTGTGTTCTCCTTTCTTCGCCTCAGCCTCACATGCAGTGTTCAGACTGCGCCGGGCCATTGGCTTTTATTGCCGGGCCCACCAGGGGAGCATATGAGAGCCAGGTGTAAGTAAGCCGGAGCCCAGTGCACTTCTCCATCCGTGGCCTGTGTGAACCTGTGCCTGGAACAGCGACGGGGACTCTGCAACCTATGCTGGCAGACGCGGCGGGACACGAAGAGGTTTACGAGGTTTACTCTCGTAAAAGTTTCCTTTTTACTTCTATTAGACGTGATTCATTTGGCTCTCATCTCATAGTTTACCTTAGCTTGCGGAAACGTGGAACTGCGACGAAACTGCAAACATAACAGAAAGAATTTCAAGAAAAAACATTACCTAAGTGTATACACAGAGAATAAACATCCAAACAACCCGGGGGCCACGACCTGTCTGAGGCGCTCACGTTCCTTTTAATTAGTCTGACATTTTTTAAAGAAGAACTGCGGGCAAAAAAACTTACCATTGCAGTGGCGTACGGCCGCCTACTCCCATAGAGAAGGACAGGGGCTGCGTACTAATCACACGCAGCACCCGTCCTTCCTGGGAGCTGCCCGATGCGGCCGTGCACGCAACACGGAGCTGTACATGCCGGCATTTTCCCGTGTGAATGAGGCCTAACCCTTGCGGTGGAGCTACATTTGCACGGCAAGGGTTAAGCACACGTTTTGTCTAGGGGACACTATTAAAGCTGTTTTTACTTGATCATCGGCTGCTAGACCGGTCTCCACAGCCTTTTCTACGTACCGCTGCTGCCGTCACATCTTATGCAGGTCCATTGACTTGCATTAGATGCGAGGATGCCAGAAGGGAAGTGCGGAGCCGGGATGAGGTAAGTACAACAGCTCTGTGCTCTATCGCGTATCGTAAACCATTGCCATTTTTCATATAAATTCATGTTTTTGCTTCTTCTGTTCATCCCTTGTTACTTCTGCTGATCGCCTGCAGACACTTCCTGTCTACAGGCACTCCAGCGATGGCTGCGCGGCATTTCTAAGGGCGGGTTTCCTGATGGTGACAACAGTGGCTGATGCCTGCGTGATGTGTGCTGAAATGGAGTGGAAGGGTGACAACATAGGAGAAAAGTCAGGAAACGGACAGAATGTTGTCACCCTCTAACAGGAAGTGCCTGAAAAGGGACTCTCATGGCAGGATCGCCAGGTATGATTTTTATGGACACTGTAGATTTAAAAAAAAGGTTGAAAATGCTCTTTGTAATGACATTCGCACGCGCACTTTCGTATTCATCATGTTCAACAAACACGCACACGTTTACTGTTTTCATATAGGAAATAGCCAAATTTCAGTCTAGTTTAAGCATCCCCGGTGAGGCATCCTGGGACTGCTAGTTCTCCTGCATCCAGGAGGCCTCAGGTTAACCCGCCTGCTCTAGTCAGCCAGCGGCGTGTGTCGGTGATGCGCCGTCGATAGCGCTCGCTGAGTTTTTGTTCTGTGTTTCCATTCTGTTGCGCCATCAGATGTTATTATTTGGGCCTCTTGCCGTCATTTCGCCGGAGCATGTCATGGAATGCGGCACAGTTATCTCTTATTTGGGTTTCTCACCTTAGCGGCACTCACTTTCTGCAAGAACAAACAGTAATTGATACCGGGAGACGCCGAGTGGCTGCAGAGATTAAAAACAAGAGAATGGCGGCATTGGAGAGATGGGGGGAGATGGAGCAGGCCCTGATAATGACACATTTCTTGTTTTGCCAAAGATAGAAAAGACTTTATAAATACAAAACACCTTTATTTTATTTTTGAAGGGATAGTGCACCCAAAAATTATATTTTGAGTAGAAGTGGAGTCTGGTGGGCTGATTGACCTCCTGGCTTCTTATGTGCGGACATGGCAACTCTACTATAGTTACTGACTCCGTTACTGTTTTGGGGCTCTCAACCACCACTGTGTGTTCCCCCTTCTTCTGTTACATTCTCTACAATATAAAATAAATATTAAATCTAGCAGGGATAGTGGGAGGCCCTCATAATGGGCACAGCAGGTGTACAGACCCGGGAACTCAGCACAGGGATGGTGGGAGCCCCTCATAATGGGCACAGCGGGTGTACAGACCAGAGAACTCAGCACAGGGCTGGTGGGAGCCCCTCATAATGGGCACAGCGGGTGTACAGACCAGAGAACTCAGCACAGGGCTGGTGGGAGCCCCTCATAATGGGCACAGCGGGTGTACAGACCTGAGAACTCAGCACAGGGATGGTGGGAGCCCCTGATAATGGGCACAGGAAATGTACAGACCTGGGAACTCGGTGCAGGGATGATGGGAATCCCTCACAATGGGCACAGCGGGTGTACAGACCTGAGAACTCAGCACAGGGCTGGTGGGAGCCCCTCATAATGGGCACAGCGGGTTTACAGACCTGAGAACTCAGCACAGGGATGGCGGGAGTATCTCATAATAGACACAGTAAGTGTACAGACCAAGGAACTTGATGCTGAGACCGGCACAATACACACTTGTGGCAAGTTATGTAGAATAAAATTATAAACTAACTTTTCTTCACATAATTGTATAACATTTCACTGATTTGCCTTGAGCAATTAACTCAGAATGGACAGGATGCATGTCATCTAAGGCAGCTCACTGTTGCTGACTTGTGCAGTCTCTTTCTTCCTCTCTGCTTTGGGTCTGATGACCTTTTATTTCCTTATGAAGAACATTCAATGAAATAAAATCTAGTATAACTCCGCATCGTTCCTCCCATCCCTCCTTTCCCTCCCTGCGATTCGTATCTGTCGCTCTGCCAGTGTTTTGTCGCCGTCAGCATTGTTCCTGTCGAACCCTCTCGGAAGCTTCTGCGTCGCCGTACCTGAGGTGCCCGCTGTTACCTGCGCGGGCCCACACAGACGCCAGTGTAAATATATTGGCTTGCTTTGATGTCTGCCCGGCTTTGTTTGGTTTTGGCTGAGCGGCGCAGACACGCTAAGTGCAGTCCGGACGGTGCGGGAAGGAGCCGTGTTGTGCTCACGAGGTTGTAAAGAGTCACCGGCTGGGAATAAAAGCTTCCATCGTGTTGACCTAACATATTTATGAGCTCTCAGTGCATGTGTAGAGACGTACTTTTTTTTTTATTGCACAATCGCCTGTTAATATCGTTTCAACTTTCAACCTTTTTGTTTTGGCAGAATATACACGCCTGACCAGTTCATGGGAACTCGACAAGACAGCGCAGCATGGGTAGGAGAGGCTGAGCTTGCATGTGCCACGGAGGGCTTTACAGGGCCCAGCCGAAGTCACAGAAATAGACTTAAGACTGACAACCTCAATTTTCATAGTCCTACCTCAACTTTCCCGGGACAGGGGGTCTTGTATGATTGCGCAGACCAGAGTGAGACCTAGTGCACTCAGTAATCAGCTCTCGGTGGCCATACACTGGGCAAATTTTGTCTGGTTCATCAAGAAATTCATTCAGTGGGTGGCCCAGTCAGCACCCTCCCACCTGACATCCTTTGATCAGCCAATCGAAGGAGCCGGGCAGAAAATTGTTGGCTAAATAGTGACTATAGCAGCCAAGGAGTCTGCTTAGAGGCCCATAATAGAAGTCACCAGCACTCGATGATAAGTGCAAGAAGTAAAGCACTTTTTATTCAATCGTCACATGCGTCAAACGTGTGTTTGCCGCATGTGACGATTGAATAAAAAGTGCTTTACTTCTTGCACTTATCATCGAGTGCTGGTGACTTCTATTATCGACTGTATCTGACACGGCGCCACCAGTGTTGTCACTTCAAGCACCAACCTCTTACTCCAGGTCTACACGCTGTATGGAGTGCAGGTGATTTCGTATTATCGATTGCTTATAGGCCCAGCTGCCGTTTGCCACTTTTCATGGCCTGAAGGTGTTTGTTAAGATGGTCGCCGTGTGAAATGCTGCACAGCTGCCTAACTCGGCTGACTCCAAGCTTTCCTTTTAACCACCCAGGCTTGGAACCCAAGTTCTTTGAGACTGTTGCCAAAGCCCTGATGAAGGGGTCGTTTGGCACCCGAAACGTGTTAGCTGCTTTCTGTGGCCTGTGATATAAATGGGTTACTAAAATACATTTTTGGACACCTGAGACATTGGTTTGGTGCCCTCTTCTCTACTTGTGGATTTCTGAAGCAGGGTGAACCCCTACACTGGCAGCACCCCCCCCCCCCCCCTTTTTTGTAAAGGGAGAGCTGCCAAACGTGAGAAAATTGGACTTTTTAAGTCTTTTTTGTTTCCAATGAACTGATAACCGCTGGGTCCATCCCCTAACGTTCGACATAATTTTGGAACTTGGAAGCCGTGTGACAGGGTGACCACGCAGGTGTGCAGTTGGAAGGCAGGGACACCCTGTAACATGAAGTGCCTAGACAAGGGCCCCCATTGCAAGGATCAATAGGTATTATTCTATTAGAAGCTTTAGATGTAAAAAGATTAAAAATAACTTTTGGCAATTAGGGTAAAACTTATAAGACTTTAATAGTTTGATTTCTATATTTTAGGGCAGAGGTGGGCAAGTCCCTTGCCCTCCAGCTGTGCTTTAACTACAACTCCCAGCATGCCATTGCCTCTGGGAGTCATGCCTATAACTGTCAGTCTTGCTATGCCTCATGGGACTTGTGGTTCCACTACAGCTGGAGGGCCGGAGTTGCCCACCCCTGTTTTAGGGTATTGGTTGGCCCCCATTATTCAGCACACAGGACATTTGCCCCACTATATACCGCTCTTGCGAGAGATATATATATATACAGTATATGTGTGTGTATGTATGTATGTATGTATGTATATATATATAGATATCTAAAATGTCATCCAAATCTGAAAATGAAGGGGGGGAATCGTCAAGAAATTCTCTTAAACAAACACTGCGGGTACGGCGTCGATTGTGCCAAGATTAAAAATAGCCGAGCAAAAAATTCCCTCTATGCAACCAAAAAGGAGAGAATTCCGCCAAGTTTCTGAATCAGGAACACCTGTGCCGTTCGGGGGGACTTTTCGTGGGACGTTCCGGGATTGTGGACGTGGGGGCTGCACCGCGGGGCTGTGGGATGCTTTTCCATTGTCTGGGATCCTGAGCGGCTTTTACGTTCTTTCTTCATGTTGTCACCGACGAGGGGTTTTCCAAATAATATATTGCAGATGCGTGTTGGGGTTTTGCACGCCGATCTTTTCCGAGGGACCCGAAACCAATCGCCGTCATAGAAATGTCTCTAAAATCAGTCCGTTCCCTTTTTTTTATAACTTTTTAAAATGTTATTTCATTTTTTTAAAATATTTATTTAATTCGTCCAAAATTAGGTTTTATTATTTCCGCCGACATTCTTTGCATGCGTGTGGAATAAATGACCGCACTCGTCTTATTCCTTGGAGGCAAATTTTATGTTTTGTTTTGGTCTTGGATAAAGCAGAGAAGGATTAGAACCCTGTCGGGTTTGTATATACCTGTCCATGACCCCGTTAGGAAGATTTGTCCTTACTTCCTGTCCCGGTGACACCAGGAAAAGAAATGGGGAAAGGTTAAGTGCTCGTTTTGGTCTAGAGCAAGGGTCGCCAAACTCCGGCCCTCCAGCTGTGGTGGAACTACAAATCCCGTGAGGCATTGCAAGATTCTCACAGCCACAGACATGACTCCAGGAGAGAGATGCCTCATGGGATTTGTAGTTTCACCACAGCTGGAGGGCCGGAGTTTGGCTACCCCTGGTCTAGAGTCTAACATAACAAAGAAATACTCACCTGAACCTCGGACGGAGTTGGCTGCTGGACCGGTCTCTGCAGCCTCTCTCCCCCTTCGCCCTGGTCCCGTAAATGAGCACATTCTATACATTGGGGGGAATTTATCAAAACTGGAGCAGATTTGCACGGCAACCAATCAGCTTCTCTGTCTCATTTTCAAATCTTACCTGAGCAAACTGAAGAGAAAAGCTGATTGGTTGCCATTGGCGTCTGCTCCACTGTTGACAAATCCCCCCCACTGTTTATAGGTCGTGAGGGCGCCAAAGGACATACCATACCAGGAGACAGGCAAGAGGGAGCGCAGTCACCGCCGGCTGGCTCGGAGGATCAGGTGAGTATAACTTTATTTTGCTCCCTAGACCAAAGCAAGCAGTTAACCCTTGCAGTGCGGCAGCAGCAATCCCACTGCAAAGGTTAAAGGAGAAATATGGGGTTAAGGCTTTTCCCCATAGTTCTCAGGGTAACGGGAGGACACAAACTAGCGTCCTCCCGTCACCCTAAGCTCGCGGTATACTGAGACACCGCAGCTGAAGCGGATCCCGACAATTGTGCCGGGATCCGCCCAGCTGCGTGAGTGACAGCTGGCTCTGCCTATCTAGAGGCAGAGCCAGCGGTACCCACCCCCTCCCCCGTCCTTTCAGCCAGTCAGCGCTGGTGGATCGGGGAGGGGGGAATCCAGCCCCTCCCCTGTCACGGCAGAGAGCCGTGACAGGATCGAGAGGTGAGCGAACGCCGGTATGTGTTCGCTCACCTCCCGATCTACTGAGCCGACCTGTGACCAGTCTCATTGTCACAGGTCGGCTAGAACTATGATGCTGAGTAAAAAGCACTCACCTCATAGTTCTCCTTTAATAAGTAATTCAGTATATTGGACATGAGAACGCCAAGGGACATGCCATTGCCAGAGCAGAGAGAGAGGCTGCTGGGACCGGTCTGTTGCCCAATCCCAGGATTCATTTTATTAGGCGAATGTAAATTGGGCCTGGGTTGTACAATCTCCTATAAATCCCAGCAAATAAATAGTGCAAGGGCCCTTCTGATTGGGTTACATATTGAATAGTTTAGGAAGGACTTCACATTATATAGTTTTGGTAAATGTAACAAAGATTGTACGATGATATACAATCAGATTGGGACGTGTGTGACCAGCCTCTACGTTGTAGATGTTGTTTTTGTGTCCTCCCCCTTTAAATGTCTGACGCGAGGTGTCCTCCCTCTTACAGGTGAATGACGATTACAGCGTGATTGGACGCTCGCTCTTCAAAAAGGAGACGAACATGCAGCTGTTTGTGGGGCTGAAGGTCAAGCTGTCCACCGGAGAGGACGGGGTGATCGAAGGGAGCTTCGGACAGAGCGGGAAGTTCAAAATCAGAATCCCCAGTGAGTACAAACATGTTAATCAAAGCCGAAGTCTAGTGAAAAGTTTTTGTTGTTCATACAGAAGCCGCGTTACAATGTATAGAAGTGTGTCGGTGATGCCGGATACCCTCCACGGTGCTAATGTTCCAGCGCTGCGACTGTGAAGGTTTGCACCGTTCGCCCCCCACTTCCCTGTCCCCTCGTCCATTCACAAAGCCCCTAGGATTATTTTCCCAGCATGCAAGGCGTTCTGTCAACAGAGGGAGGGATGAATGACAGGATCTCCCCCGTCCATTCACAGAACGCCTTCCATTAGGCAAGAGGGCAGGAAGGGGAGGGTGAATGGCGTGATCCTGCTTGTAGCGCTGGAAGATCACAGTGGGAGGGTTGTCAGCGACAGAGGCTATCAATCTAGAAAGCAGTGGGCGGGGTCGCGGTGTGACAGGTGTTGATTGACAAGCATTGAACCCCGTCCTCTTATACAGCTCATCCTCTAGTGCACATATGGCCCTGTAGGGCTGCCAATGGGGCCTTGTTGACATGGCATCCCATACTTCCAATAAAGCAGCATGCATGGCACGGTGACAACACTGCCACAGCATGAGGAGGCTGTTTTTAGCATTGTCACCCTGTTACAGGAAGTGCAATGAGATGAGCTGAGTTGTAACTGGGAGGATCTCTTGATATTTACTACATTGTTACTAGCAGCAAATAAACATAACACGGCAAACGATACTGTATATGTGCGAAGGGAGCTACTAAAGGCGTTTTAATATTTGGCTTTATAGACTCAAACCGAAAAAAGGACTTATCAAGATTACACTACAGAGTTACACAGAAGAATGATTTACCAAAATGTATGTAAAGGGGAGTTTGTTTGTTTTTTCCAGAGCTGAAGATATTTAAGATAAAGTTGTCACTGGTGACATATTTACTTCCTGTTGAGTAATCTGATAAAGAACATTGCATTTGGGCTTTTCTCAGCCTAAAATAAACTAATAAATTACCTTCCCTGACTGAGCCAGGTCCTCCTCCATTTGTGTCTCACGCGCTCCCCCTCCCAGACACTGCGGCTTACAGTGGGAGGGTTTCAGCAACAGAGGAAGGGCTGTCAATCTAGAAAAGCAGTGGGCGGGACTAGTTGTAGCCTGTTATAGATTGACAAGCTACTGGAACCGTGGACTGGAATTTTCTGCAGGTCTTATCCCCCTTCTCATGCGGTTGGCCCCCTGCTTTCCCCCCCTTCAGCTGTATAGAGCTTGAAGGCAAATTTCAGGTATCCCCAGAAGTGTTCTTAGGATTACTGCAGTGACCATGTGACTTTTGTTTAGAGTGCTGCTTCTCTAAAGGGATGTCCATGGTGTCCTATTATAGCACAGGGACTGATCATGTGACTATTGTAGGCAGAACCAATCACTAGAATGGCTTATGTCGACATCTACAGAAGAGAAGGAGGTAAGGATCTGCTTTAACCTTTGCCGAAATTTTTTCAACGTTTGTAAATACTACAAGAAGCATTTTTTACATGAAAACACACTTAAAAACCCAAATATTGGTGTATATATTTATATTTATATTTTTAAATCGCATGATAAGTTTAAAAAAAAATATATTTTATCAATCTTTAATTTTTTAAACATTGTTTTCTCTTAAATGTATTGCTCTCACAAGGGGGCAATATGTCCCCCATGTCATAGGATAGTGCCCGTGACAGGTTCTCTTTAAGGAGTTTGTTTACATGCTGCCATAATAGTTACGGCGGCGGTATTTAGAGGGCGGCTGTGTAGCTGCTCGAATCACTTCTACTAGAAAGCCGGCAGTCGGGAGTAATAGGTAAATAAACTCCTGACTGCTGAAGCAGGTGCTGATGCTGCCATAATAGTTACAGCGGTGGCATTGAAAGGGGCGGCTGTGTAGCTGCTTTGAAACACTCTGTGTACATGCTGGTGCTGCCATAATAGGTACGGTGACAGCATTGAAAGGGCGGCTGTACAGCTGCTCGATCACTTCTACTAGAAATCTGTCAGACGGGAGTAATAGGTAAATAAACTCCTGGCTGCTAAAGCCGGTGCTGCCATAATATGTACGATGGCAACATTAAAAGGGGCGGCTGTATAGCTGCTCGAATCACTTTGTTTACATGCTGGTGCTGCCATAATAGTTACAGCGGTGGCATTGAAAGGGGCGGCTGTATAGCTGCTCGAATCACTTGTACTAGAAAACCGGCATTTGGGAGTACACAGGCAAAAAAACTCTTAAGATGCCGTAGTGGCCAGGAGTTTGTATACATCTTGGTACAGCCATAATAGTTACGGCAGCGGCATGGAAAGGGCGGCTGTATAGCTGCTCTGAAACACTTTTACTAGAAAGCCGGCAGTCGGGGTTAAAAGGGAAACAAACGCCAAGCGCGTGTCGCTAGAGTGTTCGGGTTTCGCTTGAAGAAAAGGTGGCAACCCTAGGTGTGAACGCAGTTCACAGGAGTGTAGAAGTGGTTTCGCTGCTTTACAGTTGTTCAGATCAGCCGGCAGAGAGGTAAACAAGCTACCAGCCCGTTTGCTAACCAGTAGTTTGTTTACATAACGGTGCTGCTGTAATAGTTACGGCGACGGCATCTAAGGGGGGCTCTGCAGCTACTCAAATCACTTGTGTTAGTGGTAAAGAAACGAGTAAATAGGTAAAGAAACTCGGCTGCTTTAGGGGCCGGGAGTTTGTTTACATGCCAGTGCTGCTATAACAGTCATGGCGGCGGCATTAAGAGGGTTAACCCCCCCTCCCCCCCACCTCTATTCTATCCACAATAAAATGGCTTTGGGTATTCTAAGGACATTCAGATATCCTTGTGTGCACACAGTTGGGCACCGGCTATTTTTGTACACTTTTCATCCCCATGGCCGTGATTCGCACATTTTATGCATGGAAGCAGCTGCATGCACGCTCCGGTACAGTGAGGAAGGGGTGTCGGATGTAGCGCGCAGTCTTTGGGGGTCATAAAGGGGAAGTTTAGACTATTAGGGAAGCTTAGTCAGACTATAGTTTGATTTTCTTTGCTGTGTATTTGTTTTCGGACGGGGGGACAAATCAATGTTTTCTCTTAATGCGCCTGCATCCTGTTTGTGGCTTTTTTTTTTCTCTTCTTCTTTTTAAACTTCATTAGAAGCGACTGATGGGATTCCTCTGTCCCGCAAAGCTTGCCGCGCAGATTACTTCCATGAAGAATTAGGAGCAACCTTCAAGAGGCGCGTGCTGGTGACTGTCAATCAGAAGGTACTACTGGACGGCCATGGTATCTGAACCGTCATTGGCGGGGTTAAAGCTGAACTCCGGCCTTGCACAGTTGTACCGGCTCCCCTCCTGGACTGAAATGGCTTCCTCTGATTTCACTGCACACTGCGAGCTTCTCACAATGTGCAGCAAGTCAGATAGAGATAGATTCATGTCCTGGAGGATGTCCAACATCAGCTAGCACTTTCCTCCCCTTTCATCGGTGCCGATGCCGAGTATTCGTGGCGACTAGACGTACTCGCCTAAATACTCCGATGCCTAGCCCGATACTTCCTGTATCAAGAAGCCGGGCAGCGCGTCACGGCTGGGTGCCGTGTAATGACTCGGCGCCCGGCGATCTGATTGGTCGGGAAGCCGGCTTCATGCTCTCTCGTCACCTCATGATTGGCCAGAAAGCCGGCTCCATGCTTTCTCGTCACATGGTGACGAGAAGCATGGGGACGTCTTCCCTGCTAATCGGGAAGCCGGGTGGCGAGTCATTACACGCCGCCTGGCTTCCTTAATGGGACTTCCGGTATCGGTATTAGGTATCGGCGAGTACCGGAAACAAAAATATCGGTGCTCGATAGCGAAATACCCGTACCGGTGCATCCCTACTTAGCACAGCAGTTTTTGTTTTCCCACCTGTAACGTAATTTTATAACCTGCTAAATCCCTGCCAGTAGGTCTTTTGGTTTTCCATTACCCATCACAGGCCAAGCTGTCCACAGCTGGAGGGCCAGAATTTGCCTACCCGTGCTGTAGTTCCAGTACAGGAGCATGCATGATAGGGTGACAACACTTCCGCAGCATTAGGAGGCTGCGGTTAGCGTTGTCACCCTGTTGCAGGAAGTGCAATGAGACAGCTGAAGCCGGCTGGATCTCCTACGTTGTTACTAATAAAAATAACAATTGCAAACTATATTGTATAATTATAATTCCGGTTTATAAGGGGGAAAAAGAAAGTCTGGCAAGGTTAGACTACAGATTACACAAAGTGATGATTTGCACCAGTTACCGAAATGTATGTAAAAGGGGAGTTTTTTTTTTTTGTTCTCCAGAACTGAAGATGTTTAGGATAAAGTTGTTACTTCCTGTTGAGTAATCCATTACAGAAGAACATTGCATTCGACCTAAAATAGCCGGTTACATAAACTGAGAAGTGACTCAGCTAGACAGCACTAGAAAGTATCAATGAACCTTTAGCAGATGACGCTGGATTATGACCGCGCTGAGCAACAATTGCCATACAGGAACCCATGTCAGCGGAATGAAATCGCATGGCGGAGTAATGAGTGACGCGCTCTGCTCCTCGTGGAGTCTCTCTGAGTACATTCTATTCCGGAATATTCCATTAGTCTCAGGCTAGACACAGAGATCTTATGTCCTGGTTCGCTGTTGCCCTCACTGCCTCTGAAGTCTTGTGAGCTGTGACGTGCACAGAGATATCGCCTACATAACAGATCACATGACCGGCGCTCCCGCAGCACCGGGAGGTCTTTATCGGTTTAGCCCCCCCAAGGCCGTAGCCGTGTAACTGGCTTTTTTTTTTTTTTTTTTACACCAGATCATGACATAGGTGTAGCTCATCAACGTTCCCCTTATTAAGAAGGAGGCTTATACAGGGAGAACGCACTTTTTTCATGCAGAGTTTACTTTAGAGGGGTATTAGGGCCAGTTCACACCGTATGCAGTAGTGATGCAGTCCGTTTATTTCAACTGCTGCAGTTAAAATACATCCCAATGCTTCCCTATGGGCT